TGTCAGAGGCAGTGCAGTTGGCACAGGATAGAGCAGGGTTTAGGGCTGTTGTGCATAGGGTCGCTATGAGTCGGAAACGACTCGACGGCACATAACAACCACAACAACATCCTTAAGTACAATGCTATCAGCAATAGGGTATAAAGAAATTGAGGATTTCTATCAATTTTTGCAGTCTGAAATGGATCAAACATGTAATAAAGATGCAATGATAATAACTGGTGACTAGAATGAAAAATGACTTGGAAACAAAGGAGGACTAGCAGTTGGAAACTGTGGGCTCAGTGATAAGAATGACACCAGAGAATACATGACAAAATTTTGTACAATGAATTATTACAAATCACCTTTTTCAGAAGAAATAAAAGGTGACTATACACACACACCTCATCTGAAGAAATACACAGGAATCAGATTAATGACATATGCTGAAATAGTGGCAAAGTTCTATATCAGCAGTTAGAACAAGGTGAGGAGCAAGCTGGAAAGAAAAAAAGAAACTGAAAAGTAAATTATGTCTCTGGTATTTTCAGTTTGTACGTGGTAATCTAAGCCATGACAATTGATCTTTACAGAAGAAGAAGATGTCAGGAATAAGACGAACAGATGGGGAAAGCAGGTAATTGCCTCTAGTGAACATCTGCCTCCCTTTGCCATGAGTCCATAGAAATGGATGGTGCCCACCTACTATTACTAAACATTTTGATCAAAGAGGCTATAAAAGAATCTAAAAGTTAGACAATGAATAAAGATAACAGAAGAATTGAGGCCTTTGGATTGTGGTCTTGGAAAAGAGTACTGAGTATTTCATGGACTGCCAAGAGAACCAACCAGTTTGTCTTGGAGGAAAAGCAAATAAGTTACTCTTTAAAGGTAAGGATGGTAAAACTTTGTCTCACATATTTTGGGCATGTTGCCAGAATTGGGCGGTCCTTGGAAAAGGACATCATGACAGGCAAGGTGAAGGGTTAGAGAAAGGGAGAAGCTAGCACATAAAGTAATCCATGGACATTCATTACATAAGAAACGCACAGTCGGGCACTGGCCTTGCTTTGACTGCTGACTTTGAGCCCCTCCACTGGCTCTTTCCACAGATGTAGTTAATCTGATTCTTGTGTAGTCAGTCCATCAGATGAGATCCATGTGTATGGTTCTCGTCTATGTTTTTTGAAAAGGGTATTTGAAATTAAGAAAAAAAATCATTGTACAAAAAAAAAATAAGAATCAAGATTGAAAGGGAGGAAATATAGAACAGAGTTTCAAATTCTCATGAATTCCAAACTTTCTGGTGCCATGAAGCCTGGATAAACCTCTGAAATTACTATCTGGATATAAATTTTAAACGAAAAATATTCCCTAATTTTTTTTAAAATCAAACAAAAGTTTAGCTTTTCTTGTGAAAAATGTCAACCTTGATCATTATGGTTTTTTAGGAAGTGTGTACATGGAATCAAAGTAATTACAGTAACTGGAATGATTAGGTACAATTGTAGTTATTTATAAATTTATTTTGGTTTCATATAATACAACATCTACACACAGTAGACATTTAAACATATATATATATTTGTTTTAGTTTGTTATGTATTGTCAAGTCAGGACCAAAAGATCCATAGCTGACCCTTTCACAAGGTTTTCAGAAGAAGTTAATCCCACAGGAGGAGAGTGCCCATCTTTCTCCTGTGGAGCAGCTGGTGAATTTGAACCTTGTACCTTATGGATTGCAGCACAGTCTCTTACCATTAAGCAGTTTCTTGGGGAGCTCTGGTGGCCTAGTAGTAAGAAGTGGTACTGCAATCCTGAAGGTTCCCAGTTTAAATCCACAGGATGCTCTGTGGGAGAAGGATGGGCAATCTTCTCCCAGGCAGTTAACTGTTTCTGAAAACCCAGCAAAGGGTCAGCTATGGATCGGATCTGACTTGATAATACAAAACAACAACAGGCAGTTTCTTACCAATTAAAAATCAATATATTACATTTGAGGAAGAAAGCTTTATTATGTGAACTATATATATAAAACATTTTACCACTTTTTGTTTACTATCTTTTCTACCTTCTGAAATACACAATAGTATTGCTGAATCCCTACTAGCAAGTAGTATAAATCATAAGCTATAATACACTTTTACAAAGAGCATTATCTTTGCCCAGAATCTTGTGAATCCTGGTATTATGTAATAAACATGCTAACATTGACTCTTCATTAACTAAAGTAACCAACAGGATAATTTAATAAAACTTTACAAACTATGGAGTCATTAGATAATTTTATTATGCAGAGTAAGTCGCTCTCAAAAAATGTACTTACATTATAATCAGCTTCAGGAAGTTTAACACCAGGAAATAAGTCACTAGTTATTCCATTAAATAAAGGTATATCATGTGATAGAAACTTAGGCTCATTTACATCTTTAATTGATCGAAGAAGCTAAAATAACCCAAAAATACACATAAGTTAATTAACACTTTCCTTCCCCAAAACTCAATATTTATTTTACCTTGTTCTGTAGAATCCCTGTACTTAAAAGCCAGTATTATGTATGCTTAACACAATGAGCAAATCTGTTGCTAAAAAAAAACTCTAGAAAGTATTAAAGAACAATGACACCACTTTACAGTTAAGGTGCACTTAACACAAGCCATGGTATTTTCACCTACTAAGCATGCATGTGATAGCTGGATGAAGAAAAACAACAAAGATAAACTGATGTCTGGGATTTTGGTGCAGGCAAGGAATAGTGAATACACCGTGGACTTCCCAAAGAAAAAAGAAATCTGTCATGGAAGCATAGCAGCAAGAATACTCCTGAGAAGCAAGAATAGGGAGATTTCATCTCAACATACTCTGGGTGAGTTATCAGTACAGGCTGGTCCCCTGAGAAAGGACGTATCCATAGAGTATAGTGAAAAACATCGTAACCCAAAAAGCATCATTTCAAAACTATGTGTAAACACTTGATGCTGTACCATGTTGCTGTAACCCGTTGTCTATATATAGTTTCTGACTAATCCTACTAAAAATAAATTCTAGAAACTATGTTTTTAATGAAACTTTCACAAGCATTTATTACTTACGAGTATGTCTTCATTTTCATTGGGATATTTCAGTTTTAAATTTCCAGCAGCCACCAAAACTGCTTTTACTGCCCTCATTCCATAGTCATAATGAAATTGTGACGAGAGCTGCTCAGAGCAAAGCCTGTAGGTCATTACTATCTTCACAGACAGAGGTTTTGCATTCAAAAAGCCATAGGAGTAGAGGGAGATTTCCGCTATGAGGGCATAGTTTGGAACCATCATAGCCACTGTTCGAAAAAGAACCTGAAATATAATAAACCAAATACACTGTTTACATAGTAATTACAAATACAGCATGTTTTCAAAGGTTCTAAAATTTTCAGTAGGATGTTGATATTTTATACACTTTTTAAAAATACATTTAAGTCTTTTGAGGTTTACCTTAAATAGAACAGATAAAAGGGAGACTACAAATACATGAACAAGAACAACATTTTTTGAAGATCTAAATTGTTACTTATTTTATTAACAAATTCACACTCTTAAAATATATTTATATACATTACCTTAAGGTTGTCTGGCAATTCAGATCGTCCTGCATAGCCAGGATTCATGGTGATAGCCACAAAACAGTTTGGATTGAGCTTCAGTTCTGTCCCTTCAAAAACGAATACTTCCAACTTCTGCTGAATAGCCCTTTGAATGCAAAGAATCTGCTGTGCTACCACTGATAACACTTCCAGTTCAATTCTGTTAAATTCATCAAAGCAAGCCCAAGCACCAGAAGAAGCAAGTCCTTTAAAAAACTAACAATAAGAAAATAAGGGAGCTGTTTTTCCTTAGGGAAGTGCATAATTTCTTAAAGTAAATATTTCCACTTTTAAGTGAAATACTTTTAAATATTTTCACTTTAAACATAAATAATTATGTTTCCTAAATGTCTTATTGGATCAGCACATCAACAGGGAATTGCCAGAAGTCCAGGCTGGGTTTAGAAGGGGTCGTGGTACTAGGGATATTGTAGCTGATGTTAGATGGATCTTGGCTGAAA